GTGGCCAAACTGCAACCCTTCTCCCTTCATTTCTTCATCATCCCAGCAGGATCGCGGGCATGTATACACACATGCCCAGCGTGCCCCCAAGCCTCAGGGTCAGGAGGCGAACCACAGCTGGCCACGGGGACTGGCTCCCTCTGAACGAAGGGCAGATGGCCTTCACTTTGTCACAAACTTGTGCTTGACCTTCAGAGCACTGTTCTGGGAGGGATCTCCTCAGGAGGCACCTCTCCCCCACACTGTCTCCCGTCTATGCTGCTGCTGGCTTTATACCTCACTGGGCTCTTGATCAATTCATGCCTTGCACTGTGAACATTTCTCCCAAATGTCTTAGTTATCCAACTACTAAAGTAAGGTACTTACAGGCAGGGAATCAGGGCCAGTCTGTGATGTAGTTGTTAAAGCACTGGACTCCCACATTGCTGATCAACGTTCAAGTCTTGGACCTGGTGGCTTGAAAATCATGCCAGGCATGTGTGTGCATGCCCAAAATCCCAGGAGAAGAATGGAGGAGAAGGGATTGTGGCTTGGCCATTAGCCCTGGAGGGAAGTGATTTCTCACTTTCTCTCTTGGTGTTTCTCTCTCTTTGGTGAATGCATGCAACCTATGGGAAAAAAACTCAAGTATGGAAAAAGGCTCAAGTAAATGGATTCCTAACATGGGCTAGATGATTCCTACAAGCACACCTAACTTCGGAGGTCTTGTCAGCAAGCAGCTCTGTAGAAGCCAAACAGTAGAGACCTGCCAGAGTTGGAGTGAGCAGAGTGTAGGAGGGGAAATGGAATGTCCGCACAGCCTCTTGGTAACTTTAACGTCGCTTTCAATGAAGCTGAACAGATTTCATCTGCATCAAGAACATAAGGAAATCTTCTTTTTTTTCCTCCATAAACAGTAAGACAAAGCCCTTTCAGGACATTGACAAGAGTCAACAAAAAAGTAATCTCCCCCACAGCTAATGTTCCTCTTTCAACAAATAGCTATTGGACCAGTCCCTGTGGCAGGCTGCTCAGAGGCTGGGAGATGAGAAAGGTAAGAGTGCTAATGGTTCTCAAGTGTCTACAGAAGCAGCAGGAACACAGGGTCACCTTGACTGGGCCCTAGCAGGCTATTTTTCCTCCCATCTCCAACCCCACTTAAGCATCAATTATAGGCCCTGAAAGTTTTTATCTTCCTCTCTCTCTCTTTCTTATTTATTTATTTATTTTTATTTACATTTTTTAATACAGTCAATCACATTATTTAGCTTACAAGGTGATCATTTCAATATATGAACACTTCTTCCGGTCGAGTTGATCAAAATTTAACAACACTACCTCCCTGTCTCAACAATGCTGTCTTCATATCCCTCCTCCTAATGTTCTTCTCCAGGTTCCCTTCCTCCACACACACCACATCTGGCATTCACATCCACCTCTTGTGTTTGTACATCCTTTAGCCCATCAGTTTCAGTTATAGAGTACAGACATTTGGGATATATTAAGTGGGGATATACAGTGTCTCTCCTTCATAGTCTGGCTTGCTTCACTCAGCAGTAAATCTTCCATATTCTTCCACTTTCTGTCAAAAGTCAGGGGTTTGTTGTTCTTAATGGCCGAATAGTATTCCATAGAGTATATGTGCCACAGTTTTTCAATTCATTCAGCTGTATGGGGGCATTTGGGTTGGTTCCATGTCCTAGCAATCGTGAAAAGTGCCACAATAAACATTGATGTGCAAGCACTTTTCCAATGAGAAATTCTTCTGTCCTTTGGGTAGATGCCAAGAAATGGGATTGCTGGATCATATGGCAGTTCTATTTGTAGATTTTTAAAGTTTCTTTTTTTAAAAATAATTATTATTTTATTTATTTTATTTTATTTATTCATTCATTTATTTTTTTTAGTTTGACCAGAGAG